GGGCGTCTGAGCCTCGCCCTGCCTGACCCAAGGGCTGACTCCCTGGGGTTGGGCGCAGTGCCCTCGGATGGGACCGCGGGGCAACTGACACTGGACGTGCCCCTTCCACAGGGAAGACTGTGGACCCAGCACAGACCCGGAGGAAAGCTGGCGCCTAGTCCTGTCCCCTGGAGCGCAGGCGGGGTTGGTGGAGGGAAAGTCGTGGCGGGGCCAGAACCCCAAAACCCTCTGAGTGCGGGGTCGCTTACCGATCTTGGCCACGCTGGCCACGAGGATCCAGAGCGCGATGATGTATGGGTCCTGAACGTGGTGCCATTTGAAGGTGACCACTTGGAAGCCATGGGTTTCTTTGAGCTCGCTTTCAGGGTTCTCCTCGATGCCCTGCGCCTGTGGCAGCTCGCCCAGCACCAGCAGGAACGCTAGCAGAAGCCTCCAACTGGGCCCTGGGGCCTCGCGCCGCAACATCGTCCCCACCGCTCAGTGCCCTGTTGGGACGCTCATGTCGTGTGAGTCCGGCTGCGCTCTGCAGGACACGCTGCGCTGGGGCCAGTGACAGGACGGCCGGCCGGCAGGACGCGCGTTGGGCGGCGCAGAGCAGAGAGCGCTCCGGGTGTGGGCTGCTGTCCTGGTCCCCGCCCGCTGGGGTGGCCTTTAATCCAGTGGCCCCCTCCCTCCCCGGGGCGGGGCCTTCCCGCCCCCGCTGCGCACAAGCCAGCTAGTACACGGGTTGCGCGTTCTCGGCACGCCCACCCCGGCCGGACCGGCCCCTAGACTTCACCTTCCCACCTCCGCGCGCCGGGTCCCCTTGGTCTCCCTGGCTCACTGACCTGCACACTCTCAGCTCTGCGCGCTCCCTACTCCCGCCCTCTCCTGGAGCCCTGGGCTGCAGGTCGCAGGGCGATGGAGGACCTCCTCCCTTGAGGACCGAGGGCAGCCCTGAGGGCTGGAGGTCCCTAAGGGCTCTGCTGCTCGGTGCCTCAGGCGCCCCTCGGGGGCTTTTGCTCAGCTCCGGAGTTGCCTGGGGCCGCCCGCGGGCATACTAGCCTCAAGCCCCTCCTTCTCCACAAACGCAGGACCTGGGGCTGTGCAGACCCCGCTAGAGGCCCCAGGACCCAGGAGGGGGTCAGGCCGCCAGTCTCGTGCTGCCTTTCACATGAACCTGCATTTCATCACAGGATCCAACAACTTGTCAGGAACCAGGGCCGACTCCTCCTCAACCTCAGGTGATGCACAATCCAAGTCGCTGCCCTTCCTCAAGCATGGTCCCTGTTCCGTCTGTGAGGGACCCCTACCTCGCCGCCCAGACCTGAAATGCCCTTTTTACCGCAGGGTGGGCTTCGGATTGACATGGTGGCTGGCGGGGGGAG